ACAGTAACACTGTTTCTCTCTCTCGCTCTTCCCCCCTCAAGCATTCTGAAGACATTCAACTTTTCAAGCATACATTAATACATTATTTCTTTGGGCAATGTAAAATGGTCCCGGATTATTCTTTGTAATGAAGATAAATCTCTCAATCTTCATTTCCTGAGAAGACTTATTTTTACTTCTGAGGGTAATAACTTTATACAGGGAAAGAAAACATAAATTTCTTGCAGAATATGGGTGACTTTGGGACTAAAGAAAGCATTTAGGAGGCATTTATTTAAATAAATAATTTAAAGAACTTATTTTGCCCCTGGGCGGGAAATACTTTTCATGTTCCTGCTAGACCATTCAGTTTTATGTGAAGCCCTTGCATCGTTGAGTTAGTACAAATGCTTCCAATCCCATGCAAGATCAGATGTGATCTGCAGGCAGAGAATGGACAGTCGGACAGCACCACTGCCCAGGGCACTGCAGACGGTTACGCGGTCTCACAGCCTTCCTGGCACTATCTGGAAGCACAAAGAGCAGCCACAGCTGATAGGCCCCAGGTTTTTGCCTGACTGGCATTTGTGAAATTGTTTCACACTCCCAGAGGAGCAATCGCTATGACGCAGAGCACTGCAAACAGCTTTTTTTGCTGAATTAAAAGATTTGGTTTATCCCACCTGCTATCTTGCCTATAATCTGTAGCAGCCATGCTCCTGTTGCAACAGGTAAAAAGCCCCTTGGCGCTTCCTGGGCGCCACTACGGATCTCTGCACACTCTTGCAATCCTGCCTGTGCGTGTGGGCTCCGGTGCCAGCCCCGAGCTCCCAGGAGAGCGCGAGCTTGCCTGCCTTGCCCTGCGGGGTCACACTAAATCGCACTAGTCGTCCCAAAGTCGCCCAGCAGGGATGGTGCTGGAACTGCCCCAGTTCCCTGTGTTGGCACGAGGTGAGGCAGCCGGCGGGGGCTGGCCGCCTTTTTGGCCCCTTTTCCCCTGCCAGCTCTGCGGAGTGGCAGTTTTGTCCCCTCCAGAACCGCGCACGGACGAAATTAAACACAAGAGCACACCTCCGCGCGGGGCCCGGCCCCTTTAAGGGCGGCGGGGGCGGGGCGGCCGCGGCCGG